GGAGCTGAGGCCCCTGCCCCTCATGCAGAGTGATCCAGATGATTGACGAGAACAAGGAGCAGCTACGGAATCTCTTCCGGAACTACAACGTTCTGGATGTGCAGCCTGCCATCTCTGTCCGGCTGCCCGACGACATGTCCGCCCTGCAGGTAGTCCTGGGGGCACCCAGCCCCGCCACCCCTCTGCCCTGGGTGCTCTCACCCACTCATGCCTGGCCCCACTCCCCCAGATGGCGATCATTGTCCTGGCCATTCTCCTCTTCTTGGCGGCCATGCTCTTCATCCTCATGAACTGGTACTACAGGACCGTGTGAGTGACCCCCACCTCCCTGCCCTGGGACAGGCTGACCAGCCCTGCTCCTGGGACAGTCACAGAGGCAGGCAGGGCCCTGAGATGCCAGCCCTGTCCAGCCTCCTTCACCAGCCCCTCTCTCTGCTTCCCTCCAGACACAAGAGGAAGCTCAAAGCCATTGTGGCTGGCTCAGCAGGTGAGCAAGGGCTGTGATGGGGTGGGGGGAGGGGTGGTGGCTGAGAGGGCAGGAGGGGCCTCGAGGGGCCTCGAGTGCCTGCCTAAGCCTCACAAGGCTGGCTCGGCTCCCCCGGCCCAGCAGGGTGCACCCCTCCCCTCCATGCCCCAGCACTTCTCCCTACAGGGAACCGTGGTTTCATCGACATCATGGACATGCCCAACACCAACAAGTATTCCTTTGATGGGTAAGTGGGGTCCCCGAGCCCTCAGGGTGCACTTTGGGGAGGCCTGCCCAGGTCCCAATTGGAGTAGATTCTCTACCACCCCTCAAGCTCTGAGGGACCAGACTAGCTAAAACTTGGGGTGGGGGTGCCCCCTAGTGGGCCAGTCACCCTTCTCTACACTCAGAAACTATTGGCTGAGCTGAGATCCACACCCTAATTGGGCCCCAGGTCCAGGGGACAGAGACTTTGGATACCAGGTGCGGAGCGAGGCCGCCGGGCCCAAGCTGGCCCAGACTGACACGTCACGCTGGTTCCTGCGGGACCCTAGTGTGGGAGGGCCCTCCTTCTCCTGGCCCTGAAGCACCAGTCCGGCGCTGGCCAGGGGAGAGGGCAGGGGTCAGTGGCGAAGCTATGAGAGCATCTGTGCACCCGGGCTGTCCCTCCTCACTCCACCCCCCCCCCCCACCCCCCACATGCAGAGCCAACCCCGTGTGGCTGGATCCTTTCTGCCGGAACCTGGAGCTGGCTGCCCAGGCGGAGCATGAGGACGACCTGCCCGAGAACCTGAGTGAGATCGCAGACCTGTGGAACAGCCCCACCCGCACCCACGTGAGCTGGGGCCAGAGCTGGGAGCGGGGCACAGTCGTGAGGGGTAGGGGTGGAGGTAAAGCAGGTCTCGGCCACTGCTCGCCAACGAGCTGGGTTCCAGGGGTAGGGGGTGGGGGGTGGGGGGGTTGTCTCCACCGCTCCGGGGGTGTATGTACACGTGTGTGCACGCAGTCTACCCCTGCTCCAGGTCGTGTTCTCTCCCCCCAGGGAACTTTTGGGCGTGAACCGGCAGCAGTCAAGCCAGACGATGACCGGTACCTGCGGGCAGCCATCCAGGAGTATGACAACATTGCCAAGCTGGGCCAGATCATTCGGGAGGGACCCATCAAGGTGAGTCCTCCCTGCAGGCCCCTGCACCACACCCCCTCAGGGCCCTGCACCCAGACCTCTGATGGCACTGGGACTAGCTGCAGAGGAAACAGGAATGGGGGCGGATCCTGAGAAACTTTTCCACCTCTAGGCTCAGCTAGATCTGCCCTCCACTGGGCAAGAGTGTGCAGAAAGAGGGGCCCGGGCACCAGGCTGATGGGGAGCTGCTTCAGCCTGCAGTGGCCTGAAGCCCACGTGGGTTCTGGCTGGTCACTGTCACCAGCAAGCTCTGCTCCCAATCCTCTACCCTCGGATCAGGTGCCTGTGATCACCTTCCATCACCCCCATCAGAGTTAGTGAGGGGTGTGGCAGGCAGGGGAGGGCCTTGGTGGGGGGTTAACCCTCTCCCTCCCCCAGGGCTCACTGCTCAAGGTGGTCCTGGAGGATTACCTGCGGCTCAAAAAGCTCTTTGCACAGCGGATGGTGCAAAAAGCCTCCTCCTGCCACTCCTCCGTCTCTGAGGTAGCCGGGCGAGCCCGGAGCTGTGTGCTGTGCCCCAGCGCTGGGGGTGCTCATTCCCTCCCTCCCTCCCTCCCTCCTTCAGTCTCTCTCCCCAGCCACCCTCATCCTTCTCAAGAGTCTCTAGAGTTCAACAGCCAGGGCCAAAGACAGCAATGGGTGGGGTCCAGGAAGTCTACCTCCTGGGCTCCACAGTGGGCTTTCCCAGGGTGGGTACTGGGGAGGGTTTCTCAGACTTGAGGGGCCCAAGAAGATGCCCGGGAGTGATGTCCTATAGGAAACTGGCTCAGGGTCAAATGGGTCCACATAGGTTTGTCTGCCTGCAGTAATGTCAACACTTTAAGAACTCAGACTTTATTTAAAAACCCAGATTTCCAGTTGGGCCAACAATTCCCAAATGGAATAGGCCAGAGCTAACAGTTCCGCACGGGACAAAAGTGCCACATGGTGAGTTTCCACTATATCCTGTCACCCCTCCAACTTCACCTGTGGACACTCCCTACCTGGCCAGAGTGGATCCTGTTTTGAGGACAGACTGGTAACAAATCAGATCCCAAAACTGCATCATAGGATCTTTATAGATCATTAAATACACAGAATTCAAGATTCTCATGGGAAGCCCACGTTTTAAGAACACCACCCTAAGTGTCCGTGGTGCCCCACTTTGTACCCAGTTTGAGAACCACTGTCATCAGCTGACAGGCCTACTGCAGCTCGAGCCCTGAGTTCCTTGCAGTTACCTGTGTGCAGGAGGGAAGAAACAGTGACACAGCAGGTGCGACTCTGGGGCCAGCCACCTGCTCAGCCCTTGGGCATGGCCCTGAGCCTGGGCGGGTCCCAGAGCCACTGGCGGATCCTGGCCTCTTGCAGCTGATCCAGACGGAGCTGGAGGAGGAGCCAGGGGAGCGCAGCCCTGCCCAGGGCAGCCTGCGCTTCCGCCACAAGCCGCCCACGGAGCTCAAGGGGCCCGACGGCATCCACACGGTGCACGGCAGCACCGGCACGCTGCTGGCCACTGACCTTAACAGCCTGCCCGAGGATGACCAGAAGGGCCTGGGTCACTCGCTGGAGACCCTGACCACCGCGGAAGCCAGTGCCTTCGAGCGCAACGCCCGCACGGAGTCGGCCAAATCCACACCCCTGCACAAGCTTCGTGATGTGATCCTGGAGAGCCCCCTGGAGATCACAGAGCTATGACTAGATGGGGGGGGCCTTGCTGGTGTCCCCCATCCCTCCCAGGGCAAGGGCAGAGCAGGACCACAGTGTGGACCCCACCCCAGGCCAGCCAGGGCTGTACCACCTCGGGCTGGCCTGGTGGAGCCTGCTCCAGTTGCTCAGACTCTGCTTCTGCCAGACGCCCATTCAGCACCTGACCTCTACCTTCATAAAATTTGTTATTTTTTTAAGAAAACCAAACAAAAATGATAAGCATCTAAGGACAAGGTAAGGAGGGTCACTGCGGGCCCAGGAGTCTGAGGACAAACTCAGCCCAGGTTGAGCTCTAAAAAGGCCACGGAAGCCCTCTCCCTCTCCTCTCCCGACATCCCTGACCATTTCCCCCCCTCCCCGCCCCCCCCACCACCACGCCCAGCACCAGGGGAGGGAGGCCCAGAGCTGGCTTACCCCACCTGGCCTTGATTCCCTGACTTCAGCTCAAGTCCCAGTGCATTTCTAGCACATCCCCGGCTGGACACCCAGCTGGGGGCCGTGAGTGATCCCTGCCTCCCCACATGGACATGGTCAATGTCAGCGAACTGCGTTCTTTACATTCCACTGGCTTCCCAAATGTGGCGGCTCATAAAGAGAAAGGACTCGTGTTCCCTTGGATTCTGAATGTAGAGTGTTTGCGTGTATTCCTTTTTTAAATTATTCCCTCAACGTTTTCCCCTTTTGTTTAACTGGTACTCACTGAACGTTTCTGGAATAGTCTGCATTTTAAATAAGAAAAACAACTCACAAGGAGGCAATTCAATTTGTCGTGGCTCAGTAAACTACCCTTGCGGTTGGCCTGGGGCAAGGGGGAGGGGGCCAGGTCAGTGGGGGGTGGGGATTCTCTTTGCCCACTTTGCTTGCTTTCTGCGGCCAAGAGGGGCCAGAGGACCCTGGACACCCACAGGTCCATGGCCCTGCAGCGACTCAGAAACCAAACACTGGCTGAAGTGTTACAGAAGCACTCAGGCTCAGGTCTGGTTAACAGACTTTATTTATTGTTAAATCACAGAAACTTTAGTGCAAAACAAACCAAAAAAGTCATTGAGTCCATTTAATAGCAACTGCACGTCTCGCTGTCTCCTGGCAACTAGAAGTGGAACAGAAGAGGAGGCCCAACGGGAGAGGCAGGCGGCAGCCAAGGCCCCGGGACAGCACCCCCAGCACCCCCCTCTACCTGACAGCCAGAGGCTTAGGAGCCTCTCATCCACATTTACATCCACATTTATCTGAAGGCCAAAAAGACCAGCTAGGAAATGGGGGATGGAGGTGAGGGGGCTGGGAGGCACTAGAGATGCACAAAGCAAGGATCCAGCGGCTGGGCGGACACGAGAGCAGGAGGGGGCCACCACTGTCCGCACGCACACACGCGCACGCGCCAGGCCCACAGGACCTGCACGTGGAGCTAGCAGACGACATTGAGACAGGTTTCCCCCGGCCACCCAGATCCACAGAACCCTGACCAAGGCATCACCAGGAAAGACACACCAAAGCTGAACTGGAGGGTGACCCAGGGACAGCCACCCCGAGACCCACCCAGGCCTCCTGGGCAGATGCCTCCCGAATCTCCCCTATCTCCCCCTACGGTGAGAACTACGTGGTTTTAAAAAGCCTCTTTATTCTGAGCCTCTTTCATGTAACACCACCTTTGTTTTGCTTCTCTGGAGAGCAGCCCTGGAAGAGGGGAGGTCCCTGCTGAGGGGCAGGCAGAGGGCTCAGAACAAGGCCCCAGCCAACAGGATGGAGGGCCTCTGTCAAGCAGCTCTGGCTCACGCCAGCCCCCAGAGCCCCCCACCACCTCCTCCAGGGAACCACCACGCAAGGGCAGGCTGAAAGTCCTCCGGGGCACGGTCCGTCCTCACCCGTCTAGGCAAAGGAAAGGGACAGTGAAGCAACGGGGGCAGCTGCAGGCCAGGCGCCTCCTGCACGGACAGCAATGCTACAGGGGACAGGAAAGGGAGGGAGGGAAAGGGAACCTATTTTTATAACAGAGTCAACAGATCAGAGTGTTCACTGCCCCAGACACACAAGTAGGAAAAGATGCTGCAGTTTCTCCAAGATGGAACGTCCCCCTTCTAGTTCCACACGTGACGTTTGCAATGCTCCACAGCCTGACAAGAGAGAGGAAGCTGGACTTAGTCTTCACGTGACAAACTCTACTCCTGGCCTGTTCCTGCAGCAGACATCACCCAAAAATGGAACCTGTCCTCCTGTCCTAGTCAGCTGGACAGCACCCCACTTACAGCTGGGGAGCATGTGGCCCCCGAGCGTCGGGGACTCCCCTAAGGCAAGAGTCCAGAGCAGCAGCTGCAGAGCCCCTGAGTGTTTTAACGGTGAGCACCCACGCAGGAGGGCCCGGGACCCCTCCACCTGGCTACAGGCGGAGTCCCAGCGCTCAGTAGGCGGCATGGAGGCCCCCCGAGGCAGAACTCACCCAACAGAGTGCACCTCGGCTCAGGCCTTGAGAACAGTGGCCCCACAGGCCCCTTTGCCCAGGACGGCAGCAGGAACCTACTCCTCCCCTGACTGTGCTATGCGCTGGGGCCGGCGGGGCAAGGAGCTGGACACGGCCAGGGGGGCATCACCGCGCCTTCCCTGCAGGGGCCCAAACTGATGGCAACCAGGCCAGTGGTCATGTCCCACTGGTCATGAGGAACCCACTGGAGGAAGAAAAAGTTGCGAAAAAGAACATTAAGTAGCTAACTGGTCCACACGTCCCCACCCGAGCAAGCAGTGTGGTGCACCACTGGGGGTGGCCCGGTCAGGACAGCGCCAGAGGCCCTGGAACCGCCGGGCAGGCACCAAGCCTCAGGGCCACTCAAGAACAACGGCTTGGCCTTGGGTGAAGACTCAGGCCAGGCTCCAGCCAAGAGTGACCCGAGGGAGAGGAGAACTTGTGCAATCTCTAGGGTGGCCTCGTGCGAATCCGATCCTGACCCTGTCAGAAGGGAACTAAAGGCAAAAACAAGGAAGCAGAAGCAAAAAAACCCTAAAAGATACCCCCACCTTTTACTTCTCAAAGGCAAGAATGTCGTCAGTCCTCCTGCCTTTGCTGGGCGGCCACGAATAAGCCTAGCTGCTTCTCTGGGCCTCCGTGTTTTCCCTGACACGAAGGCCAGGTAGAGCTCCTGCCCCAGGGTTATCCCAGGAGCGGTGGCCGAGCTACTCACATTGCACTGGGTTGCTGCCTCCATGCTCCGGCACCAGTAGCTGGGGCCCCACACACACTTCTCGGTTCCCAAAAGAGGCTTATGGGCTGCAGGGCAGGCTCCAATTTTCTATGTGGTGAAAATGGGGAAGAATCAGATCTGCCCTACTGATCCTTTGCAAAACCAGAGATTATCCGCTTCGAGAAGCAGCTAGAACTAGAGCTCGGACATGCACTTCCAAAGTCAGTGCTGCTGCGGAAAGCCCTGTCCCCCTCCCACAGCCCATCATCCCCAGAGACTCCGGCAGAACCTCAGAGGAGCCCCTGCTCTATGCGGAACCAGCTGGGCCCCACGCTGCCCGGAAGCTTACCAAGCACACGAAGGAAGGGTCCATCACCTCCACCAGGACTTCTATTAGCACGGGCTCGTACTCAGTCACAAACTGATCACACTGTTAGGTAAACAGGGAGACGGGTCCAGGTCGAGGCGTGCCCACGCAGAGTGGGGGCATAAAAGAAGGGGCGCTACGCATGCTCTGCCAGCCCGGCACCCCCTTTCCAGATGCCCCCACCCACACTCAGCCTCCCCTCAGCTGCTCCCGTTACTGCCCCTCCGTGGCTCCCCTTGAGCCAACAGACTCCTCTAAGAAATGGCTAGTTTTCCCTGAAAACTTCAATCGGGGGCACAATCGAGGAGCTACCCCAGCCTTTGCACTCCGCAGGCAGGTTCAGACCTTCTGGCCCAAAGCAGCCCAGGGCGTACCTGCTTCTGGTATGGCTCAGGCAGGAAGCTGCAGCCTTTCTCAAGAGCAGCCAGGATCTCCTGCTTTGTGCTGTTTTTCTCCAGGTTGTGGTCCAAATAGCTCACCAGCTTCTTGCATACCTCACAGAAGCCACCGTCCTTGGGCTGAATCACACGGACTACACACAGGAGCACAGGCTCAGTGCCTGCAGGGCCCTCCCGAGCCCCAGGGGCCAGCCAGCCGCCCCCTCACCCCGCTCACCAGGCAGCACAGGCAGCCCCTGGGTGGAGCACAGATGGAGCATGCCACACACGAGCTCAGGGCTTGCCTCCTGCAGGAGAATCGACAGGATGGAGGCGCCGTAAGTGTCCACCACCTCCTGGCACTCTTCAGATAAGGACGCAGGCAACTTTGAGCACACTTTATCCAAAGCGTGAAGTATTTCTTCCTGAAACACAGAACAAGAGGATCCTATTAGAAGAGAGGCTGGATAGGCCTGGGAAAGAATCTCAGAATACCAACCTGACCAGGAAACCAGCCAACAGCCAGGTGTTATTTCCTCCCCACAAAGACGAGACCTACCAAGCAGCCCGACCCCAGCCCAGAGGGATCCACCGGTGGGCAGCAGGTGTGCGGATTCCCAGGGCTGGTGTCCAATGCTGGCAAGGGCCAAGCCCACCTCTCTGCTGGTTCTGCTACTAGGGAACAAGAACACCCGAGCATTCTAGAAATGCACATACCTCAGTCCTGTTGTTGTCAATGAGCTTGACCACCTCCTTCACCACGTACTCGCACACCTCACAGTAAACATCAGCCTTCGCCTGGACCGTGTCCTTCTGTGGGAAGGGCAGGAGAGCACTTTAATGCTGAGACCCTCACCTCACCTCACCCCCTGGGTCCTGCTGCTCTAATGGGGAAGGGACACCCTGTGGCTAGGGACAGGACAATGTCACACACAGGGTGGCTTCCTCCCAGTGTCCAAGTTCCCGTCCCTGCTGGTTTTATGTGGTGGGAGACCCATCCCTTTGCCCAGTGCTCTACCACCACTACCTCCCACCACACATCCCCAAAGCCACAGAAACACCAGGAATTCATACTTCAGGAAGACAGAAGCAATAAAACCTGCTTCGAAAACCTCAAAGAGCAGTCCGCATGATGTATCTTATCTGGTCACCATCATTTCAGCGTTCCAGAGTCATTTTGGGAAGGTGGGTGGGGGTGCAGGGCAGAGTGAGGCCTCACTACCTGTCCGCTGTTTACAAGACAGAGCTTTAAACACATTTCAGGTCTGCTCCTGAGTTTCAAGTCTCACGAGTACCTGAGACTGCTTTCCCAGAGCCAGCCTCTAATAAAGTAATACTGCTAAACACAACTTCCTGTGACGGTAGAGACATCTCCATCCCTGCCGTCCAGCAGAGCAGCACGGACCACACTTGAAACGTGGCCAGGGCAACCGCGGAACTGACTTGTTTTAAGTTTTGTGTGATTTTATTTAAATGTAGTAGTCACGTGCGGCTACAACATAAGCTGTAACTCTCCTTCATCTCCTGTGGCTATTAATTCAGTCAGCCAAACAGAGCACTTCCGCCTCCCCAACTCCATCTGACTTCTTAACCGCGTGGTACAGACGCTGCACATGTTGAGGAAGGACAGCAGAGGGAGACAAGACCGCTAAAGGTCAAGTGACACGAAGTTCTGGAATAAGAAGCACATGCATGTGCCACGTGGTAAAACGTCATGGGGCCTGGGCCCTTTTTAAGAACTAAAGCGGGAGCCACATGAACACCAGGACAAGTCTGTTGCCTCCTCCAGGTGGACGGTGTCAGGACTCGGTCTCCAACACACTGCTGGGCCCGTTACAGGTGCTGAACGTAGACTGCTTGGGGAATACTGTGGCTCTTTACCAAGTGGGCGCTAGGGAAACCACACACACACACCGCCCCCATGCTTGCAAGCAGCACTCCTAGAGGCTTCTGTGTGAGCCCTGGGTGTCCTGGCAACATGAGGTTTGCGCTGCAGTGATGGTGGGCAGGGCGGAGGGGCAGAAACGTGTCAGAGGAGGTTGCAGACATGCTACAGATGGAGGCTGATCCCATGGAGCACGCGGGTTCATAACCAAGGAAATAAATGTACTCAGGGCTGGGAGCGGGACAGTGCACTTGTACAGGGACACCATAAACTAATGAATGGTCTCAAACTCAAATCCCTTTAGGAGTCAGCAGGGAACCAAAAAAGCATGTGCCTCACAGAATGTGGTACAATGTGCAGTGACCTGGGCATGACACAGCCCTGGCCAGGACAACACGATGCCACCAGGTACCTTAATGGGCTCCACCAGTTCCAACGCAGGGATGATGTTCTCCGAGACCACTTTAGCAGGGATTAGAGTCTGCATGGGCATGTCCTTCACTTGGTCGCAGAACCCAACCAGGCCACAAATCTCCTTGGGTTGCTGAGAAGGCACAGAAAAAGCAGTCAGATGCAGGCCCGCACCCACCATCCCTCAGTCCCACTGTCTACACACAAAGGTCAGGGTGCTGCTGGAGCACCCTGGTCACAGCATCAAGACTGACTGCCAAAACAGCAAAGACTCCATGTTAAATCTCAAGGGACTCCTGTAAGTGCAGATGTACCCGTTTCACACGGGGAGGAGGCCACACAAAGCTCCGAAGGGAGAGCAGACAAAACCGCTATCCCTGCTCCAGCCAGGGAGCACCCCAGGGAAGTTAAGACTTCTGGCACCTGTTTCCCTCTCACAGGCAATTACAGCTTCTCCAGGACACCTGGTCTGCTCTAGAACCTGTTTCTCGGTCGAGCTGGTTCACTCTCAGTAGGAAATAAGCAGCATGTTCTTTCTAGAGGAGGAACCATCATGCCCACAAACTAACAGAAAGCCAAATGTCTTAGATCTTTCAGTGTTAGGACTGTTTAAGAAAAAATGGTTGACTTTTTTAAAAAAACCACATTCGATTTTTACGACTGCACACAGTACATACAAAATCCCAATGCCCCCAACCAATGAATTCTTTCAGGTCACAGAAGCTCCAGACTTATCCCCTTTCCCGTCCAGACACCAAACCATAGGGAACTAGGTAATTTGGACATCTTGACCATTTCACCATGACAATGGCCAAGAATGAGAAAAGCATACATGCTCTGTATACTTTGTGAACCAAATACAACCAGCACCTAGCTCTGGGCCTGATAGCAATCGCCTCCCACCACCAAACCATAGAGCAGCAGGACAGGACTGCTAATACGAGACCTGTTAATGCAAGAGAGCTAGACCATGGCTATTGTTCACCTTGTTTTAATATCGAGAAGTCTCTAAAATTAAGTAAGATTGAGAAAGTCTGAAAGTATCCTAAATATTCTGTCTCTGGCACACTTTAAGAATGGGGAGAAAACCAGAATGGGGCCAAAGACACAGCAAGCTTTTTAGAAAAAAGACAAAGACTCAGGAGGTGTGTGGCTGCTTTTGTCTCAAATGAACTTTGTTCTACTTCCTCCTTGGGGCAGCCCGGGTGAAAATTCGGGCATTTCAGCCAAAGCCCTCTCCTATTAGACTTCAAAATACCTTTGAAAAATATTTATTCCCACAGAGAGATGCCAGTACTCAGAAGAGGGTACTAGCTCAGTTAAGTACAGTCTGGGAGCATGGTCCCAATATTATGCCACCATTGGCCTGGCTTTTGAGCCATGTGATGTGGCTCCAGGAGCTGCAGGACCCCATCACCCAGAGGGGAAGAAGCCACAAATCAAGAGATTGTTTCCAACTCTCTGGATCCAACAGACGGGAACAGTCTGCTCGCTATTTAGAAATGATTTGCTCATGCAGCAGAAGCATTTCTGGGGTCAAAGAAAACAAGACTAAAGACATGCAATGCTCCCTTGAGTCATGACAGAAACAAGGTGTCCCACCGGAAGTCAGGCCTACAGTTACGGAGGCCGAGGCATCTCCGGGGTCACCCGTGGTTCCCCATCATCACCCCGGTGGCATGCACATGGCCAGCTGAGCACTGGTTTTTACCCAGAGTCCAAGGCCCTGCTGGCTTCCCTTTCTGGTCCCTTGAAGGGGAAAGGAGAACCCCAGTACCTCAAGTGCTAAATCACAGGGGAGAGATGCAGAAGCTCCCCCACCAGCCTAATACCACAGATCATGCCGTTAAAAAAAAAAAAAAAAATGAGCAAAATAACTACAACAAGCAGCAGACCACTACTATAAGCAAATTCCCCATCACATACCTGATCCTGCTGTTGAACAAAAAAACAGGAAATCGGAGATGAAAATAAGAGAAAGGAAAGGACACAACAGTTAAGAAAAAATTAAAATAACAACAATCAGTTAACGAAGGTGTAAGTACGTCACCGGAAGTTCAGGGGAAACCTTGCAGTCACAAATCAGCAACCTACCTTGTTCCTACTATTTCACGGGGGCCCTGAAAGCTCTTCTGGCCCTCAAGGGACAGACCACACTGTTCAGTTGGTGTGTGCACTATTCCCATGCCCCTGACACACCAAATCATACTCAAAACATTGGACAGCAGGTCCCAGAAAATACCAGGTGATGAGGAGCTCTCCATCCTCAGAAACCTAAGCCCCACATGCCTGCAAGGTGAGAAGCAGCAAAGTGGAACACGACACAGGACTGCCCAAATCAGGGGTGTGTGCTAGAATATAAAATACACCCGGGGGGGTCAGGGATCCTGCACCACATCCGCTGCTGCCTGGGCAGGCCTCAGGGCAACTTCCCCAGGTAGCCAGATGCTAGCCTGGAAGGCTGATCTGACAAAAGATCAAAAGCCTTACCCTTTGATTCAGCAATTCCAGTTCTAGTTATCTGTACTACGGGAGAAATGGGGATCTGCACAGGCTTTTGATTCCCAAGACAAACCCCAAAGCCACCTGAACACCCAAAGCGGATGGATTACAGAAATTATGTTCTACCCAAACAGTAAACTACACAATCACTTTTAAGTCATTTACAAGAATGTTTAATGACCAATACATTCAGAAGCAAAATAATGCAAATCACAAAGTTTGAAGTAATATAAAACCATACTACCTCACTGCCTTTTTTTTTTTTTTTAAACCGCAAACGATTTGTGATTTGGGAAGTATTATCCGTATTTGCAAAAAACGTCTGTGTAATCTATCTTTTAGGATGAGAAAATTTTTAGTTAGCTATGAGGAAGCAGGTAACCAAATCAAAATCAAAGGCTTATTTATTTCCTACTCTAGCACTCTAGCTGCATGTCTCTGTAAGCTGCCTCTGAAGTATTTTTAGAACAAGGCATGGTGTAATCATCCCAAATAAGTTCTCTCATGCCTGGACGGAGCCCCTGAGCAGTTCCAGCAAGGCCACAGGGTCAATCTTTTACTGTGCTGGCTATCAGCTCTCAGCTCCGCAACTCTGCCGTCGCAGGATGAAATGCGATAAGCATCACTGTGCCCCATTAAAACTTTGCAGAAACTGGCGGTGGGTCACAGCCTGCTGACCACTGGTTAGAGAACATACTCAACATAGTAGAAAGTCAGCAGGATGGAGACACAGTACAACCCACCCCCTCAGCCCCCGCAGCTTAGTTCTCAGGAAGCCAGGGCACGTTCCCAAGTAAGAATCCTGTCAGACCACCCTGCTCTGAACCAGTTTTCTGCACGGAGCTAGCTAGCCCACTGCCACCACCAGTATCTTCTACCCCTAACAACGGAAGGATGCCCTCACCACCTGGACGCGTCAGAGGCAAGTGCAGGGAGTTACGGGCTCTAGCAGCAGCTATGGCTAACACTGCTGCAGTGCAGGACCGACTCTTGGCAGGCAGGGCTCCCTGCACCAGTAAACTCAAGCCGCAATGCAGCAACTCTCAGGCCTGGCCTAGCTCCAGAGCAGACTATTCCCATGGGTCCCCGGGTAAAAGCCAGATACCAGAAATCTGATGGCCAGCTCAATATAAACAGACCAACTGATAACCACCAGAAAGCCACCAGGGCCATCCTGGGTGTAGAGCTGCCTCAGCCTGTCCCCTGGCTGGGGAAGGTAAGGGGGGGGCGGGTGTGGAAGAGGACTGAGTTGCGGGTAGAGTCTGCTGGTGGAACAAGGTTCATTGTGACCCAATTCATTATCTGAAGGGAGAAAAGGAAAACCAAACCATGTAATGCTCACAATCCCAGGAATTGCAAAGTTTGAGGCAAAGAACACTAGCAGGGAACTTCCCATGGCACCTACCATATGCATCATCATCTGGACGGCAATGTCAGAATACTGGTTGATATAGTTCTTGCACTGGAGAAAGACAAACCAGTTGTTAGTAACACTAAGTGCTGCAATCACACACCAAAAACCCAGCATTTCCAACAATGGCAACGGATAACTATCAAGTTTCCCAGAGTACAGTCTTACAAACATCTTGAGATAAAGATGGTAATTTGTTTTTCCTATACCTGATAGAAAAAGGTGTGCAAAGGGTGTTTTGAAATGTGTCCCAAAGGTCCTTAGAGATGAGGTCCTCCAATCTCCTTTTACAGCCCAAACTTGCCCCGAGGTCACAGAGCAACTACTCAGGAGCAATTCTGAATGTGGATTTAAGACATGCTGCTAGGAACACTAGGTGACTTTTCAGGTGACTTTTCAAACCCACTCATGCATTCCTGGACAAGACTTTAAAGCTAAAATCCAGGAGGAATTCCTGCAGACCCTCAAAGAATAGTTCTGGCCACACTCGAGTGCCTCCACAGTGAGAAAGCCAAGGGTAATAACAGCCCTCAGACAGGGCTGAATTGGGGAAGCCAAGTTAACACAGCGATATACAAAGATACTTCAAGGAGGCCAAAAGATTCCCAGAGGAAGTCAACAGAGAAGAACCCAGAGCTCCCAGAACCAGCCATTCCTACCCAAGAAGGCTGCTCTAGATCCCAGACCCATGGAGTTATTACAGCCAGCTTCCCTACACCAAGGTTTTTCCATTACTAGGTACAAAACTAGCATTTTGGTTTTACACGTCAACTTCACACACGTGTGGTTAATGTGAATAGGGTCCAAGAAGCGAAACCCTCTGAGAGACTAACAAAATGAGTTTCTTAGCCTACAGGACTAACATTCACCACGGTAAGGAAGGCGTCCCGAGTGAATCTCTTGCAAGCCCCTGCACGGCTTCCCATGGACAGCACACACTTAGAATTATGACTATATGACAGCCAGGCTTTTAAAAACAAGCTTATAAAGGATTCTGGTGTTGTTTTTTATACAGTGACCAGGAGGAAAACGAATCCTCACAAAAGTGGTCTCCTTCCACTCTTTTATCCCAAATGTTTGGTTACATATACAAATTCAACTAACCAACAAAGTATTTAAGTACCCACCAAATATTCCAGATGCTTTCTGGGAAAAAGAAAATGGGCTTTGTTTGAACGATCTCTTCCTCAAAGCCCTGGGTTTGGAACTTGTACCTGGGGAACTGAAGTTTTCTTGGGTCCCCCGCTCCAATGTCCAGAGCCAAGCTCCCTGGTCCAGCACACCCTCCCATGCATGAAGAGAGAAGGCTTACCATGTCAGCCATGCCGGGCCCCAGGAGGTCACACTGCGCCTTGGCATGGTCCACCAAGGCCTCGACAAAGGTGGAGTTGGTCCTTACGGCATTCTGGATGTCTGTCACCATCTGGATGCAGTCCTGGCAGACGTCCCCACCAGCCTACGAGGGGGGGGGGGGTTCAGGCTGTAAACACAGCATATAACTAAAAGGATCCAAATTCCCAAGAAAATTTCCTTATGTGTTCATGACCACAGCACTAGGGGGTGACTTACTAAACAGTTCTGTGTTTTTACAGTTTTTTGTTTTTGTTTTTAAGTAATGGCTACACCCAACATGGTGCTCGAACTCACAACCCCGAGATCAAGAGCTACACACTCCATGGAGCGAGCCAACCAGAGGCCCCAGTTCTGTGTTTTTATAGGCTCTAAAATTATCAACAGGCTTAAAATCAATTAGGCATTGATTTCAATAAAACTTAATTAGAACACAGAGAAGTCTTTGCACACTTTAAATATCCCAAGTTCTTCAGAACCTCCATGGCACAACTATTTGAAGGGTGGCTCGGGTAACTGCAGGGTCAAATGAAGGAATAAGCCCCCAGTTTGACAAAACACACACACACACACACTCTCTCTCTCTCACTCTCTCTCTCTCTCTCTCTCTCTCATGTCCCATCTCTACTCCAATGAGAAACGGGGCCCTCAGTGGCTGGGCCTACTGCCTTACCTTCTGCTGGGGCTCGCTGTGGGGGCCGTCCTGAGGGTAGAGGAGGAGGGGGATGTTGGCCATAAAGGGAGCCACCACCTCAGCCACATCCATTTCTGGGATCTTATTGGACTCGAGCTGTTTCTGGTGATTCAGTTCTGCCAGATGCTTCTGAAGAGACTCGCAGAGATTGAGGGCAGAGCACACCTCCCCAGGACGGCTCTAGTGGGGAAATAAGTCCAGCTGGAAATCCTCTCCCCAGAGGAAAGCAAAACCACCACCCGGTGCCCCTGAATGAGTCCCTGTCCTTACCTCCTGACCTGACTCATACGCGTGCCCTGCTCACAAAACCACCCGACCTGCTCCCCCTCCATTTCCACCTTAGCAAATGGCTCCCCAACCCGGGTCCCAGCAGCTCAAGCCAGAGACCTGGAAGACATTCCTCACTCCTCTCTCTCTTCCTCCCCTCCCTCAGCAGGTCCAGCCCATTTCTCCTCTGAAACAGAACGTGCATCTGTCTACCTCCACTGCCCCATCATATCTCACATGGACTGTCCTGCCAGCTTCCCCTCTTCCAACTCCCAACTGGTGGGACCTAGTCCAAACCCTTTACAGAAGGTCACTGCTCCCCTTGAACCCTCCAAAGACTTCCTACTTGCACCTGCAATCCTTAAACAGAGCCTAAAAGGCCTTGCATGGTGTGACCCATGTCACCCTCGCCAAAACCTTGGTCCAGTCTTGGCACACTCCTGCACTGCTGGCCCTGTTTTTTGAACACCTCTTTCTTAGGGTCTTTCTAAATTCCACAAACCCAGCTCCTTGTTTGTGGCTGAAAACCAGTGCAGTAGCACGTGGTTTGTGCACAGTAGATGCATATTTGAATGCAAGCAGAACACCCCTGTAGCTCAGTCCACTTAGGATAAAAAGCACAGAAATGAAATGAATTGCATGCTCAAAGGAAGAGCTAAAGATCTGACATGAGAGCAAACAGGCACGTATAAATGTTGTAGCAGTTCACAGTTCCTTTCGTAGTCTACATTTCCTGTAACTCTCCCATTTCCTGTACTCTCCCCCAACTGTGAAAGTTACAAGCAGAGTGTTCTGCTGGCCAAAGCCTTCTTGGATGTCAGAACTATAGTAACAAGATGTTGAGAAAATCCAAATTCATGAAAAGACTTTCCACTTTAATCATTCTGTTCTGGTCTGGCACCTCCCTGGGCCCCGGCAGTTCCCTAAAGGAAGAGTCTGTTCTCCACCACATACCATTTGTCCTTTAATCATGTCCAGGATGACTGGGAGGTAGGAGTCAACCATCTCTTTGCACGAGGCAGACAAGTTCGGATTAGGCAGCCAGTCACAGGTCTTCTCCAAGTACACGAGGATCTCTTGCTAAGGGGATACAGACAAGCGTCGGATCAGGATGGACTCCTGCTCTGCAAACAGCTAAGAGCAGAGGACCCCCACAGCTCCCAGCAAACAGCGGCCTCGGGGAAGAGCCCTGGGAGAGGGGTAGTGGCTGGCCGTGGCTGCACTGGTCAAACAGGCAAAAAGCAAACATTCCTCAAAATGAAGCTGCTCTGACTGCAGTCACATGGGCACAGAGAATCCTGAGCAGAGATGGCCAAAACGGACCTAAGTTAGCGACCAGCCATACAAAAGTCCCCATCAACCCCGGGCATTTAAACACCGAGGCCAGGGAACAGCAAGCTAGCTCCCACAGGCTGTTTCTGTACAGCCTGTGGCTCAGGATGGTTTTTACATTTTTAAAGGATATGGGGAAGAAAGAAAAAAAAAAAATATATGACAGAAAAAGTATGTGGCTCACAAGATCTGAACTACTTTCTACCTAGACCATCCCTTGTTAGACCCCCAAAGCTGTGGACAGCTCGTTTAAGGAACGGATGCACATGACCACATGGTCACTGCTCACACGTGGTCACTGCTCACACGTGGTCACTGCTCACACGAGGTCACACATACTCCTGGCAGCTCACCTCGGTGGCATTGTCTTTCAGCATGTCGCCAGCTGCAGTGATGACATCTTTGCATATGTCGCAGGGAAGGGATTTCTAAGAGGAAAGAACATGAGGGAGAGAGATCTGTATTTGCAGGACGTAACGCACACCGTACACAGCTGCAAAGCCTCCCGGCCTCTGTCCTATTCTATCTAACCAGGGATGTCAGACACACTGGCACATCCTGGTTCGCCAACCTAGATGAAAAGCACAGGGGAAGGATCAGGGTCAGGCAGGACTGACCAGAACACTCTCTGCTTCTAGGGATAGATACCCTTTTCTTCTTGTACCCTCTACACCTCAGCACACGTGGCACAGGCCAAGTGTCATAATGCTCACAACAGCTCCAGGAGGAAACTGAGGCTTGGAAAGGTGGAAATCAGAGCAGCAGAAATCAGAGAAAACTGGTCACCTGGGGTCAATTACTATCACAGAGTAAAACAGGGTACGGCAGAGAGGCCCAGCCGAACACTGGCACTGACTCCTGCACTCTATCTACCTTCCGGCTCCCGGGGGCTGCTATGCTCTCGTGGAAGCCACATGTCACCACCCCAGAGCTTAGAAACAGCATGCCTGTCCCCTGACAAGCCTGGACACCCCGGGCCCCATGTGGCCCAGGACATGGAGATTCTAGCTGCTTCTTGAGGCTCATGGGAAGCTCCCTTCCTTGAGGGCAACTGATTTTCAACCCATGAAGAAGGAAGGACCTAACACGTCTGGGTGAGATGAAGGAACACCTGTTAACTTAGCTGCGTTGAAAGAAATCAATTTGAACCTCTGCGCCTTATCAGGCTAATACCAGATTCAGGCAACCACGAAACTGCCCTACCAAAAGAGAAGAGCTAAAGTCCTCCCTTTGTCACACACTGAATTTGAAAAGAGGAAGCCGTATTAAAAACAAGATGAGAAGCAAATCAGAAACCAAATCAGAAAGTAATTTTGGCCACAGAGGGTGGTGTTTCAGCAAATTCAGAAACCACTTCTAAAAGAACAGGGTCTTTAATTGTTCTTCTCTTAATGAAGCAGCACTAGTGGCCACTGGTGACAAGTTTTAGACCTGGAACTCCACACAGTCAGGGGTGGCACATCCTGGAACGAGCCACACGCATATTCTGCAGTCAGCTGGTAGAGCCAACAAAGCTCAGGCGTCTCCTGAGGGTTCAGGTCGCAGGAAGAATGCACTTGAGCTTTGTCATCTCAGAGTATTCCCCATGAATGTAAGGAGCCCCACATTAATATGCTATATTTAACACTATTTAGATGAAAAATCAGTAGCATCGGCCTTGCTTCGGCAGCACATATACTAAAACTGGAACAATACAGAGAAGATTAGCACGGCCCCTATGCAAGGATGACACGCAAATTTGTGAAGTGTTCCGTATTAAAAAAAAAAATTCAGTAGCATCTTTTCCAGTTTGGCTACAGCTAGAAATAACATTTTCAATAGCTACTAAGCTCTAGCGTCTGAATCCGCGATCTGCCTGTCTGCGAGAGGCAAAGAATGAAAATACCAAAATGCAGAGAAGGATTTCAAAAGTTTAGCATCCACTTTTTTTTAAGATGTATTTATTTATTTGAGAGAGAGAGCACATAGCAGCAGAGGGAGAAACTCAAGCAGACTCAGTGCTGAGTGCAGAGCCTGAAACGGGGCTCGATCTCATGACCCTAAGATCATGACGTGAACTGAAACCAAGACTCGGACGCTTAACCGACTGCGCCACCCAGGCGCCCCTAGCATCTACTTTTTTGAGTGACCAAGGGATAGAGCTGTGCCCGTGTACCCAGCCCCGGGAACGGAAGCTGCAAACCTCTGGTCCCTCACCTGGAGTGCAGAGGTGGGACGTGCACAGAGGCCCAGAAGGCAGCATGGAGTCCACACAGTGGTGGCTATGGGCGGACCTCAGCCTCTCACTGCCAAAAAGAGACTCCCTGACCTTGGGGGAATAGAACCTTAACCTCTCCGAGACTCTGTTTCCACTGTGCTAAAATGGATCCACCCTGCAACAGATCCTGCCCCCTCGCAGGGTCACCGTGAGGAGCAAACGAAGTGAGGCAAAAGAAAGCGCTTTGTAAATGGCAACAGCTACAGATGACGTACGGAGATGGAGTACAGTCCCACTGGCACTTACCACCGTTGGCTTGTTCCAGACGGTCTGCAGGCAGTGCTTCAGGGCCCCACAATCAGCTGCTGTCTTCACGTTCTGACACCACACTGCTGAGCCTCTGGTGCATTCCCTCAGGCCCAGGACAGGGCTGGCTAGAGCTAAAAGAAAAACCAGCATGAGGTGTCCCACCTCACTCACCTACCCAGGGTGAAGGACCAGCCCTGGCACTGAGCCGGACAGGAGCTCAGCCCCTCACCCAGCTGTGTGGCACACAAACCACACAGCAGCATTGGGTCAAGAAGCTCAGCGATGTCTCAGTCTAAGTCACAGGGCTGGGAGGGACCAGGGACTACCTGCTTTGCTTTTTTCCTCTCAAACTATCCTTAAAGAGTATGAGGTCTTTTTATCTTTACAACCTTAAAAATCTTCCATGAATAAATTATGCGAGAAAACACTGACATATTTAATTATAAAAAAATTTTTAACTTCTGAAGAATGACAAAGTCAGGTTTTTTTAATCTGTAGGGAAAACAAGATTCATATTCTTAATTACAAAAACAATGACTCTTAATATTCTAGTAAAAGAGCCCTTTTATAAATCTAGCTTTGTGAATATGTGCACAGAAGTCTACTAACAAAAAACCCTCCATAATCCACTTTGGTATCACCCAGTGAATACGTGTCCACTCAAAACCGGGTGCACAGCATGGCATCTGCTGTGGTAAGAAAGGACTCAGGCAGAAGTCACATGCGCAGAAATGGGACTAGGGAAAAACACAAGAAAGGTACAAAGACCCCTAGGACCAAAGAAACACAGGTTACAGCAAGAAGGTGCCATATTTTGAAAGTTAAATAGCCAAGTGACAAGTTTGTAGGAGAATATGCATTTGTACGGCCAATAAGTGTGACTGGTAAGGACTTCTTCTTAATGTATTTCAAAAACTGGAAAAAAAAAATCCCTCTTCAAAAAAGTAATCCACTTCTAGGGGCACCTTGGAGGCTCAGTCCCCGACTCTTGATCTCAGCTCAGGTCTTGATCTCAGGGTCATGAGTTTAAGCCCCACACTGGGCTCCACGCTGGGTGTGGAGCCTACTTAAAAAAACAAAAGTAATCTACTTCTAGAAATGTATTATAAGGAAATACAGCATTCCAAGAGGCAAAATATGACAGGCATAAATATATTTATTAAGTGTAATTCACAATACTAAGAATAAAAGTAGATATAACCTGAATGGCCAAAAACAGAGGGGGGGAAAGCTAATGATTCTTACTAAAAAGATTATGTAGCTGTAAAGTATTAAAAACATTATATATCAAATAGAAAAAAATTCAAGAATATGAAATTATACATAAGTTGCACAAAAAACAAATACCTCCCAAAATTACGTTGTTTGTGAATCTCTTTAAAATATTTTATAAACTGCCTTAAGAGTACCTATGTTTCTTACAAGAGGTCTACGGTAACCTTGACTTTGGCACCTCACCTCTAAGCCAACAATTCAGCTAGAAAACAACAGATTCCATCGGGCTACAATAAGATGGGTGACGGCGCAGAAGGCCGACTCCAGCAACCGCTCAGTAGGGCAGAACCACCTTCTACTGTGAATAGGAAACACGAGGCCCAAGTCTGAGGAGAAAACCCAGCCACGAACTAGATTGACAACCTCAGGAGTCATGTCGCTCTTTGCTTCAATTTGTAAGCCAACGAGAAGACACAGTGATTCCACAGCCATGAGGAATCACACACACACAGTATACAAGGCACGGAGGTTGGCAGGTGCCCTCACTCCAGGAGAAGGAAGGCAATGAAATGCGGTCATTACTAGCTTTTCGGCCAAAACTATATTCCACAAACTATTCACACAAAGACTGAGTCACAGGTCTGCAGAAAGCTCAAGCCAGATGATCTGCACCCCTTCAGACATGGGCAAATGAATTATTAATCTGCTACCCAGGTTACTGCCTTCGATGCCCCTTTGCAGCAAAAACCGCATCCGTAACCAGTTCACAAATACAACTGAACTAGCCACATTCCAAGAGCCGTTGGCCTGGACTCTGGTTTCCAAGGGAAAACATGCAGCAGATTCAATAGTATATACTAATCCCCAGATGGTTCACAGAAGTTTAGTACCTGTAATGTAGCCATTGAGAAATGAAACTAAACTCCCAGCTCCTAGAAATTAAATTCTCAGTAACACACTCCCATGTTCCTCCAACTTAAAGCCAAGTTTTTAAAGGTGCATATTATAAAAATAGTCTGTGGTATACAACAAATCTGATGTCCTAAAATGACCCAAATGTCTATTATAAACAGAAACAACTGTGCGTCCTCGGGATCGGTAATGTGAGGCTGCAACACAAGCACGGGTGATGCTAGTGAGCTACCTGGGGTGGGTTCAGGTGCTTATTTCAGGACCTGATGCCCTGTGAGGGAACCAAACAGTGGGGTCGGAACACTTTGAGACACGAATCCTTTTCCCGGAAAATGTATTTATACAAAACACCCTCACATCATTTGAGGGAGCTCTCAGGCACTACCCCTGTCCAGGGATCCCAGCTGGGGACTGAAGGCTCTAAAAGCAAGCATGGTTTTTCTCCACCCAAGAGGGAAAACAACCATGATGAAGGCACGATTACCAAGCTCCACTGACTGGGACAAGAACACTGTGCTCAGGCAGCTGAACAAAGTGAACAGACTTGGGCTGACTCCACGGTGGGAGGGATAGACCCTGAAGAAATTGTGGTATGTTAACAGAAAACAGGGGCCGTGGAGCAGCAAAATTAATAGCTGTGTCGGGGAGCGAGCAGAGTCTCCTTCAAAATGAAATTTGAACTGGCCCCTGAAAGACAGAAATACAGAAGACTGGCTGAGAGGGGGAAAGGGAATTCCTGAACATTCCAAAGGAGAGAAATCTTTGCCTTCTCAGGAGCCAGGCTGCAAAGACAGACCTCAGGCCCGATGAGAAGACCTCATGTGGCACGCTCATCCCTATGTGAAAGCTCACTCTGTGGGCAATGGCTCATGCTAGTGTCTTAAAAACCCAGGCGTGATGTGGAAGAAGAACTGTAAAGGAGGTAGGGGATTCAGATGATGGAGCACCTAACTCAAATGGAAAGCTCATACCAAAAATTCCAAGCAAGCAGCAGCAGCAGCAGGACTGAGAAAGAAGCTAAAAGAAAAGATTCCAAAAGAACAGACAGCTAGGAAAATGAACTCACCGGGTTAAACTTAAATGTGAACACGAGGGGCACCTGGGTAGCTCAGTCAGCTGAATGTCTATCTTTGGCTCAGGTTGTGATCCCGGGGTCTGGGATCAAACCCCACTTCGGGCTGAGCCAGGCTCTCTGCTCAGCAGAGAGCCGGCTTCTCCCTCTCCCTCTGCCTGCCGCTCCCCCTGCTTGTACTCAACACTCTCTCCCTCTCCCCCCACACCCCCCGCCAAATAAATAAGTGAAATCTTTAAAAAAAAAAAATGTGAACACGCAGCAGGGCTCAGGCCACAGGAAGGGCAGAACACACCTGTGTGCTCTGCTTTCCATGAGTCAGTGACAAGAACAGCAGGTCAGGAAGGTGAGGGCACGTGACACCATTCCCGAGTCCCCTAGAATACTGGAGGTGTTTGGCTGGGAGAGACATTGTTTCTGAGAAACACAGCCATTTTCATAGGGAAAGGATGCCTTCCACCTATCACATGGAAGCGGATCTGCTGTGTGGTTTCAGACCCAGACCACAGAGCAATGCGCAGAGGTTAAGGGAAACAGACCACAGCTCAAAGTAGGGGCCATCCACAGGGTTACAAAGAGGGAATGAGCTGCCTCATTAGAGGATGACCTCTCCAAAAGCAGAAGCAACCACACAGAAACAAAATGCCCAACTATAAGGAATTCTACATAAGAGAAATCTTGCGTGGTGAGCAGGGCTAGAAGTACTCTTAGGAGCTACACATCTTCACTCCCATAACAATGAAGCAAATGACGTTTTCAGTGTACACAACCAACATACAAAAAATTACCCTAAGCCACTTTCTGATGAGTTATGCCTCAAAAGATGTTCCCAGCAAAGCTTTCATCTCTACTCTCATTCTCCCACACTCTGCCCCCAAATATCAACTTCCTTCTTTTGAGACAATATGCTGAACTCTAAGAAAGTTCTTAGAAAACTTGAGCCTGACCCCCTGGAGAGTTCTAATTAAATATGTTAAGATACAAACACTCCTCAGGGCAAGGGCAACCAGGCACTACCCCTCTCAGTTCCAAGCCCTGCCATTTGAGCCCTCAATGACAAAACAGAAGGTAAACTGAGATTACAGAAATTATCCCTTCAGAGACACTAAAACCCTACAGGCAGGTTTCCTTTTATTAAGGAAAACAGGCTTTGTGTTGTTTTCTAAGACACAGAACTTCAATCATATTTCCTTAGCAAAGGGATAGGTGCAACTGTGTTCCCTTTTTATTCCCCAGGCCTAGAAGAAAATAGACACGTTCTAACGACCCACATGTAGGTCATTTATAAAAAAAAATGGGCTGTAATGGATTTTTAAATTACTGAGAACGGATGCCATGAGCTAGACCAGAAAGGGGCTTTGCAGCAGCTCTAGCCTCTAGACAAAAAAAAACACCTCAGTGGGCCTGGAAGGCAGGGCGAACTCACTAGAGCCACGTTGTGTTTTAGGTGTAATGACTTCCTGCAAAAAGAAACCAAATCTTGAGCTTAGAAAATGAGACATCTAAGGTACCTGACCCACCATTTAAATTAAATGGTTTTCAAATGTGGGACACTGAAGAATACAAAACAAAACAAAACACAAGCTCTGCCTCCAAGTCCCACCCAAATAAATGACCTTCAGCCAATCACTGTCCTGAGTTTATTCTTCATCTGTAAAATGAAGATGCAGCTACTGGAATGTTGTTGGGAATAAAGAGGCTGCTGGAGTGGAGGGGGGGTGGGAGGGTGATGGACACTGGGGAGGGTATATACTGTGGTGAGCGCTGTGAATTGTGTAGGACTGTTGAATCACAGACCTGCACCCCTGAAACAAATACATTATATGCTAATTTTTTTAAAAATGCTCAATCTCTCATTAAAAAAAAAAAAGTCAAGATGACACCGTTAGGCACTTTCAACTGCCAGAATATGACATCTCTCAGCCGTCAATG